ATATATATCAAGTCATAGTATTTTCAATAGCCTTATGTGACATCAAAGTACGACCAGGAATAATGAAGACTGTAGAAGAACTGATTCATTTGAGTTATGGTGTTGGAGAAGAATATTGAAAATACTATGGACTGCCAGAAGAACAAGTGAATCTGTACTGGAAGAAGTACAGCCAGGATGCTCCTTAGAAGTCAGGATGGTAAGACTTTGTTTCTCATACTTTGGACATGTTGTCAGAAGGGACTGGAGAAGAACATTATGGAGAGTCAACAAAAAAGAGGAGGACCCCAAGGAGATGGAACGACACAGTGGCAGCAGCAATGGGCTCAAGTATAACAACCATTGTGAGGTTGGTGCAGGACTGGGCAGTGTTTCATTCTGTTGTGTATAGGGTCACTATGAGTCAGAACCATCTCGACTTCACCTAACAACAACAACAATATATGCAGAGTCCTGGTGTGGCACTGTGGGATAATGCACTGGACTGTAAGGTCAGTTTAAATCTAAAGATCAGAAGTTCAAACTTACCAATCACTCCTTGGAAATCCTATACAGAGTCACTACTGGTTGAAACTGAGTCAACCGCACTTAACAACAAGATATATACAAGGTATGTAATACTGATAAAGATTAAAGACCACAATCTTCAATGAATTGCACCTCCATATAAAGAAGACAAAAATCCTCACCACTGGACCAGTAAATAACATGATAAATGGAGAAAAGGTTGAAATTGTCAAAGACTTCATTTTGCTTGTTTCCATAATCAACATTCACAGAAGCAGCAGTCAAGAAATCAAATGACGATTGCATTAGGCAAATCTGCCGCACAAGATCTCTTTAAAGTGTTAAAGAGCAAATATATCAGTTTGAGGACTAATATATCAGTTTGAGGATCAGAGGCTCACTAAGAGACAGAACCAACTTGACTATACCTAATACCACCACCACCAAATATTATATTTCATTGGTATTTTTTCTCTAGAGAACCTACACTAAAGAAGTCTTCAATCTCATCACGCAATTTGAAGGTGACAGACATCATGACTCTGCCTGCCTTCCCATTCCCATCCACAAATGATGAGGAGAGAAGGGTCTGAACCTATCTCCATGCCTACCTCTGGCTTCTGGACCCAGAGCTGTAGTTTCTGTGGCTCTCAGGGGCAGGGCAGGGGGATTTTTGCTCTCTAATGGACCTCCCGCTTGTTGAATTTTCTCATGTGATTCATCATCAGACCGTTGAAGTGAGGGAAATCAGAAAGTCTCGGATGCCTGCCTGCCTGCTTCTTTGTCTCTGCTCTACCTGTCTGTTTAGATTAGAAACCCATGAGGCATATCTTCCTCCGTGCTCTGCGTGGCACCTGCTCACCGAATGTGGATGATTGATGACAGGGCTTTCTGAGTGGTAACAGGCATTTGGGTGAGAGAGGAAGAAAGCTCCTGAATGCTGGGTTATGGAGGCTCAGGTCCTGACGAGGGGGAAGGGACACCGACCAGCTCTACATGCTCCTCCTTTGAAAAACAGAAAGCTAATTGATCCAACAAACAAGTCCTCATACCAACTGCAGAGTCATGCCACACACACAAAATATTTTTTTTATTGTGGTGAATGCCTGTATATCTACACACACACACACATAACAAAAAATAAGCAGTTTAAACATTAGTATCATGCCTTTTTAGCACCAACACCAAATGTGTTTCCTGTCCAAGATTTTGAGCCAAAGGAAGCAAGGCACTGAGCGTACCAAAACAGTGATTATTTATTGAGAGTTGTCAGTCCTTTGACATATGTTATCTTAAAGCCCATCCATGGTCATTGGGTTGTTACCACTCATAGTGACAAGGTTTCTGAGACTGTAAATCTTTACAGGAACAAAAAAATCCCCACCTTTTCAAATTTGGTATCATTTCCTGGTTTTGGAGGAAGCAGCTTCTGAAAGGTTGGGTGACTTGTCCACAGCTCATGTTGTTGTGAAGTGTCATCGAATTGGCTCTGACTCATAACAACTATGGGTAGAGTTTCCAAAGAATGGCTGGTGGGTTTGAACTGCCTACCTGTGTCTACCAGTCCAATGCTGATCCTATGTACCAGACTGCAGCACATCGTAATTATTTTGTGGACCCCAGATTTGCACATGCGTTTGCTGACACCTATGTACATGGCTTTGTTCTTATCAATAGTCTCTCTCTGGGTTCCATGAGAGAAGTTTTTTCCAGGTTGTAGAAGATTGAATGATATGTTCCTCCCCCAATCCTCTGCAAAAGATGTTTGCTTGGAGCTGTGAATGTAATATGACTTTATTGGGAAAAAAAGTGTCTTTGCTGATGCCTTTAAGACAAGGATTCAAGATATTTCTGGATTGTGGTGGTGGTGGTTATGTGTCGTAGAGTCGGTCTCGACTCACTGCGACCCTATAAGTCTTTACGGGAACAAAAAGTCTCGTCCTTCTCCCATGGAACCACTGGTATATTCGAACTGTTGACCCTGTGATTAGCAACCCAGTTCATAATCCATTATGCTACCAAGACTCCTTCATTCTGGAGCAGGGTAGGCCATAACTCCAAAATGTCTTCGTAAGAGAAGACACAGAGACTGTCAAGTGAAGATGGAGATAGAAGATTGGCAAGCTGCATCGACCAGCCAATGAGCACCAAGGATTGCTGGCAGCTACCAAAGGAGCCCTGGTGGCACAGTGGTAAAATGCTCAGCTGCCAACTGAAAGATTGGCAGTTCAAACTCACCAGTGGCTATGAGTTGGAATTGCTTCTGTAAAATTTATAGCCTAGGAGTGCCTTAGGGGGAGTTCTACATTGTCATTCAGGGTTGTTATGAGCCTCAATCTATACCATGGCACAAACAACAACCAGATACTAGGAGAGAAATGGA